TGTGGAGTCACAAAATTCAGAAAAATGGATGGAAGCCATGAACAATGAAATGGAATCTCTTGAACAAAACGGAACAAGGTCTCTCGTAAAGTTAACTAAGGACAGAACTATTGTAAATTGTGGTTGGGTGTATAAAACAAAATACAATGTTCATGGAAATGTTGATCGCTATAAGGCTAGGTTAGTAGCAAAAGGGTATAGTCAAATATTCGGTATTGATTTTAATGAAACTTTTAGTCCTGTAGTAAAGTTCGATTCAATTCGATCTATATTAGCTATATCAGTAGCAGAACAATTACAACTTCGACAATTTGACGTTCAAACAGCGTTTTTATATGGAGATTTGGACGAAAAAATTTACATGAGACAACCAGAAGGGTTCAACGATGGTACTGAAATGGTGTGCCGACTTCAACGCAGTTTATATGGTCTAAAACAGTCACCACAATGTTGGAACATAAAGTTCAAAACATTTCTTCTTAACTTTAATCTATTAGAAACAAAAGCAGATCCCTGTGTTTTTGTTAATAGAGAAAATAACAAGGTATTAATTGTCGCTATATTTGTTGATGATGGTCTAGTTGCAGCTACATGGAGTCAGGATGTAAACGCATTAATTGAATATTTGAGACAACATTTCAATATTACCGAAGGAGAATTGAATCAATTTTTAGGTACAGAAATTAAGCAAAAATCTGATGGATCAATTATAATGCACCAAGTGTTGTATTGTAAAAGGATATTGGAGAAGTTCAATATGACTGAAGCAAATCCAGTTCAAATACCAGCAGACCCTCAACATTCATTAAGATGACAAGCAACAAAATACTAATCTAACTAGTAAAGTCCCATATCGTGAAGCAGTTGGAAGCTTATTATATCTCAGTCAGATTACAAGACCAGACATAACTTTTTCAGTAAATCTAGTTAGTAGATACATCGAGGATCCAAAGGAACAACACTGGACAGTAGTGAAACAAATTTTAAAATATTTAAAGGGAACTATTAATTTTGGATTGATATTTAGTTCTAGACAAAACTCATGTTAAAAAGGGATACAATGATACTGACTATGCAGGTGACTTGGATACAAGAAGGTCAACATCAGGATCACTATTTACATTAGGATCTGGAAGTATAGCATGGAGTTCACGTCGTCAACAGTGTGGTTAGCATAGCACAACTGAATCAGAGTACATAGCTTTAAGTTAAGCCGTACAAGAATTAACTTGGTTAAAATTGTTTTTAGGTGAATTGCTGAACCAGCCAAAAATGGTGCCAACAATGTATGGAGACAATCAAAGTGCGATTAAACTCGTAAAGAATCCAGAGTTTCATAGAAGAACAAAGCATATAGATGTTCGCTACCATTATATAAGAGAAAAGTTCAATGTGGGATTGTTTTCATTGGAGTACATATCCAGCAAGTAGAAGATTGCGGACATTATGACAAAGCCAACTCCACGAACACGGTTCAATGAGCTAAGGGAGATGTTAGGAGTTATAAATATTGATGTATAAGGGTATATTGTTTAAGGGAAAGTGTTGGAATTATAAACAAAACACCCTATATAATGTAGTGTATAAGTTATATATTCACACTGTAATTCAGCAGATGCTGACTATAAATTTTTATAATACTACAGCATATATGTCTTGTTTAGTGTAGCCGGGTATACATAGTTAGTCGTTGATTTATATTACGCCTCATAACACTATTGTACATCGTATCATTATACTTATTATTATATTATATATATCCGATCTTATTATTATTTACCTTTAACTTCTGTATATCTGTGTACTCCAACAGTAATATCAAAGATGTACCTATCAAATTGTATACTATTAAATATAAAATTATGTAAATAATGTGTTAAATCTTAATGCGACATACCTTCAATAATGTATTCAATATTCATAAAAACAAATAAATATATTAATACTTATAAGTTATAAGACTACAATAGTAATTTAATTACATGAAATATATTTTAAATATGTATACACATGACTAAAATAATGAATTAATTAACTTATAAAGTAAACTAATTCAGATCATTGGTAGTATTAAATATTTTTTTTTCTGGTTTTGTAATCGATAAATTTAAGAACATCACAGTATGGATTACAGACACCATTTTTAATTATAAACAAAGCGAGTTCCTTAATTGTTGTGTTTAATAACCCTCCTTTAATTTGCCTGGTAAAATATGGAGAAATGTCATCATTATTTTATATTTATAGAATAATATTTCAATAATACATCAAATATCTATATTGACAGTGAAATTTGATACATACATAAGTACATTAAAATAATGTGATTTTGATATCTGTTATGAAATACGAAAATAGTATATTATTAGTTGGGCTGGAGTTTGGGGCCACTGCAGTCTATGGGCCCCAGTGATCAACGACCCCCATCCTCTGGTAGTTGTGCTACTGTAAATATTATACTCAAAGATATATGTATATCATGTTATAACCAACTCATCAATTTTACCCACTTCTTACAATAAATCGAGTTGGTGTATTTTGACTGAATTCTGTATATTATATTCACTTATATTCACTTGTATAATTTACAATGTTGACTGTTATACACGCCATACGCAGAAATGCAGAACGTATGATTTATAATAAAATCCACTAATTTGTGAAAATAGTTATATATATTTTCTTTCTGTAATGTACCCAGAATAATGAAATCGGTGTCAACTTCGCAAGAATCATTGAAACAAAATAAATATGATTCCAATAAAAATAATTAAACCAGTAATTTATTTAAATTTTAAGCGGGCTATCAGTTGATGCTGGCCTTAGTTGTAAATAATTTATCCGTTTGAAATAGTTAATTTTAGTATATAATTAAGAAAAAATAATTAGATTAACTTGGGGCTTTGACCGTTTTACATTATATTTACAAAAAAGTATGAGAAGCACTGATATTATATACTATCTAATATAATGTATCTCAGTGATACCCGAAATGTAGACACAACTCTTTAGATACAAATAATAAGTGTACCTGATAGTATTTTTATCTTAGGTAAGTGTTCTATATTTTTATTTATGTTTCATATGTCTTTCAAAAGTGTTGACAATATTATATACAATTACATAAACATAATATGATATAATAACCTAGTGAGAAACAATTTTTAGTGTACTTACCTATTGTTGTAAAATAATATTTAAATTAGATTTAAATTTTACAAAAAATGTAATATTGATTTATACAATTTAATAAAAAATAAATAAATTTATAATACATAATGTATTTTTACAAACTTAAAATAAAAAGTTATTTTAATATAAACTAGCTGGTCCCGTGCACTTCGTCGCCCGTTAAATGGATCAACTCAATACTACCTACTCAAACTTTGTTCAATTCATTAACGTGTATGGTGTTCAAAATTTATCTTATCTTTCCCGTTGCCCTGAATAAAAATTCTGAATCGCAGCAGTACATTATCAGGTAGGCAATCTACATGCGGTAGATCGCGGACCCCGTGCTGTTTGTACGGAAGTGTATGATTTAACTCTAAAGTATCAAAGTTATACCAAGTTTATTTTGATGTAATACTGTGGATTAATATAATAAATTTGGTTGCTCGTAAAAAATCGCAACTCTTAAAAAAATTATGATTGTTGAACTCCTTTTGGGTGTAATTTTCTGCGGTAAGTGCAACTCTGCCACCCTGGTAAGCATTGTTCAATAATTCGATTTGATGCAAGCTTGTACCTGATCTGCCCGAATAACCAATGGCAACCAATAAATAAATGCTAATTTCTAATGTAGACTGTAACCAATGGCAACTATAAATAAATAAAAATAAAATTTCCAATTTCTATCGTGAATCTCAATGTCCCTGTTTCAGCACCTATTTAAAATGCGAATTTTGGCAAATCCTTTCTTAGCGCACGTCTATATTATAATAGCTATCCGTAATGCCAAATTTCAGCCAGATCCGTCCAATGGTTTGAGCTGTGCGTTGATAGCAGTCAATCAGCTTACTGTTTTTTATATACAGATATGGTTGCCATGGTAATATGGACACACACACACACACACACACACACACACACACAAACTGACATACATTCATTTTTTATATATAGATTGATATGAAATCTTGGTAACCTTAGTAACCATGGCAACCTTGGTAACCATGGTAACATGGACACACAGACACACAGACACACTGACACACTGACATACATTCATTTTTATATATATAGATTATTATATTACAAACATTTTAAGCTTATAACGAAAACAATTTAAACTTAAAATATTAATATTATACAAAATTAAAATTTCTTTTAAAATTTTTAATTAAATTTAAATATTAACTAACTATATTTAATATAACAAATTAAATTTCAAAACCAATATTATTTTATAAATATTTATAACACAATAAATTAATAATAAAGTTAACTCTATAAGTTTGGAAGTTAAAAAAAAATCATAAATTTTAATCAACCATAAAACAAAAGTTACTAAAAACATTCTTTTTTTAATTTAATAAACTTTTTTACAATACTATTAAACTATAAATCTATAAACTAATTTTAACTAAATACTAAAACCCTATATAAATAATTTACTTTTATAAAACAATCAATAAAAAATCAAAATATTAATATCTTTAATTTAAATAAAGTTTAACAACATCTTATCATCGTAAATGATAAACTTAATTAACATATTATTTATATCTAATTTAATGTTTTAAACACACTTTCCAGTACATTTACTTCTCTAACGACTTGTCTTATTCGTAATAAGGAGGACGGGTAATATGTACATATTTTAGATCTTTCTTCTATTAATTAAATAAATAAATTTACTATTTAATCCAATTTCATTTTAATGTTCACTTAAAATCAAAAATACATTTAATGTAACCCATACTATGCTTATTTATTAACCAAATCTTGAGTAAGCATAAATTATAAAATTAAATAAATAAAATCGGATTGAACATGACATGCTCAATATCGTTAAAGCTCTTGAACCACTCGGTAATGTTGTCCCTGTTAACCTTAAGTTAATTCGTCTTGGGAAGTCTAGTACCGAATTTTTGCGCCCTATCAAAGTTTTTTTTGAGTCTAAAGATATTGGAATGAATCTTTTTGCTGCCTACAATACAGCTACACGTTCTGGGAAATCTTTTCCTGAAGGCTTTCGGATTTCTAGAGATAGAACTGCCCTACAACGAAAACTTTTGCGTTCATGTTATGATGACCTTGACAGGAGTGGCGAAACTAAACTACGTATAGTTTTTGTTAACGGATTACGAACGGTTTTTTCAACTTTTTTAAAAAACGGTGACGGTCGTCATCGTCAGCAACCCAATCCAAGTTAACTTCTTCAAATTCGTCTGAATCTCCATTCGTCTCAACTAACTGCCCTTATACGTCTATAAGCGTTGATTCTACTTGTTATCTGTGTATCAAGGCTGCTTCTACTATTAATTATTACTATGAATTTATCAATAAGCATAAAAATACCTCTGTAAATACTCTTAATCTTAATTCTCAAGTTAATTCTCATTTAAGTTTGAATGGGTTTTACCAAAATTGTCGTGTTCTTAGGACTAAATTATCAAATCTTAAATGTAATGTTGCCGGTGCAAAGTTTTTATTTATTGTTTTAACTGAAACTTGGCTAAATATTGATATTTTTGATTCTGAGTTAGGATTTTATAATTACAATGTTTATAGATGTGACAGAAATAATCTAACAAGTAAATGTTCTAGAGGTGGTGGAGTCCTTATTGCCATACATAAAAGTCTTTTTTCTTAAATTATTTCCATTAATGATCAAAGTATTGAACAATTATTTGTTAGTATTAGTATCAACAATGTTAATTTTATAGTTGGTGGTGTTTATTTTCCTCCTTGTTCTTCTGCTGTATCCTATGAAGCCTACACTATCACAGTTGAGAATTTAGTAAATTCATACATTAATCATAACTTTATTCTTTGTGGTGACTTTAACTTACCTGATATCAATTGGTCTAATGATAGTCATGGTTTGGTATATTCTTCAACTTCTAGTAACACAGAACAATTTATCCCTGAAACCTTTGCATTTCTTAATTTTTTTCAGGTCAATAACGTATCAAATGCATTTGGTTCATTGTTAGATCTTGTATTTGTTAATAGTAATCAGTTTAATGTTACTGCTGTTCATGATCCTTTAGTTCCTGAAGATCGTTATCACCCTACTTGGATATTGATTATAATCCAATTTTTAATTTACTCCCTATTAATGTCCATCATTCCTTTTTAAATTTCCATAAAGCGGATTACTTCCATATTTCCAAATTTTTTCTTACATTTAACTGGAGGGACACCTTTTTTAATCTTGATGCTAATTTAGCTATGTCCACTTTTTATGATGCTTTACATTTCTCTGTTCTTAAGTGAGTTCCTTCTGTTAATTATTGTCAATCTAATTTCCCATCTTGGTTTTCTAAAGACTTAATTGATTTAGTTTTTTTAAAGAGAAAAGCCCATGCCAACTTTAAGGCATCGTGTCACCCTAATGATTATCGTGCGTTTTCTTTGCTTTGTTCTAAGCATAAACAAATGTCTAAAAACTACTACAAAAAATTCATTGAGTATACAGTCACAGTTTTTTGTTAATCCAAAAAATTTTTGGAAGTTTATTAGAAAAAATAAGTCTACCAAAGATATACCTAGAACTGTTCATCTTGACGGTGTTTTCAGTACCAATAACAAGAAGGTCTCAGATTTTTTTTCTCAACAGTTCAGCCCCGTTTACACTCAGTCTAGTAGTGAAAATAATGTTACAGGTTCTCCTCAATTATTTTATGATCTCCCTAGTAATTGTTTTTTTGATGTATGTCATATTGAATCTGGTCTGTCTAAATTATGTAGCAATAATTCAATTGGTACTGATGGACTTTCGGGAGAATTTTTATATACACTTCGTTCAGTATTATCTTACAAATTGTGGCTTTTATTTCGTAAATCTTTAGATGAAGATATATACCCTGAAATATTAAAGCTTAGTACAGTTATACCTATTTTTAAGCCAGGTGATGCTACTGACGTAGCCAACTATCGCCCTATTTCTATATTAAGTCATATAGCCAAACTATTTGATTCATTAGTCTTACATTCAATTAAGCCATCTGTTAATTCTATGTTAATTGAGGAGCAGCATGGTTTCCGAGCTGGCCGTTCAACTAACACTTGTAATCTTGTATTTTCTAATTATGTTTTTGATGCTTTTAAAAATTCTCATCAAGTTGATGTAATATATACTGATTTCACCAAAGCATTTGATCGTGTTGATCATACTATTCTAATGGAAGTTCTGTTTAAATCGGGTTTTGGTGAGCCATTATTGTCTTGGTTTCGTTCTTATCTTATGGATCGTAAACAGATTGTTGATATTCATGGTGTAAAGTCAAGTTTTTTTCATGCTACTTCAGGTGTTCCCCAAGGAGGTCATCTCTCTCTAGTTTACTTTTTTCATTATTTATTATATTAACGATATAAAAAATGTCATTATTAACAGTCGTTTTCTTCTTTTTTTCTGACGATCTAAAATTATTTTTAAAGGTCAAATCATTAAATGACTGTTATTTATTACAAAATGATCTTAATAATTTAGTTATCTGGTCTAATGATCATGGGATGGATATCAATTTCTCTAAATGTCATACTATGTCTTTCTATAGAATCCGTGAGCAATTAAATTATGCTTATGCAATAAATGGTTTACCTTTAACTTGTAAGAACAGTATGGTTAAAGACTTAGGTATCACGTTCGACCGCCAATTTAATTTTCATTTTCATTTAGATTTAATTTGTTGTAAAGCTTTAAAATTACTGGGTTATGTTAAAAGCATATTTCAGGAGTTTAAGTTAGTGACCCCTATAAAAACGTTATATTGCGCCTTTGTTAGGTCTATCTTGGAATATGGTACTGTTGTTTGGGATCCTTATACTGCTTGTAATAGAAATCAAATTGAACGGGTTCAACAGAAATTTCTTAATTATGCAGCTTTTACTCTCAATATTGATCACATGCCTCATGATTATATCCATGTCATGGACAGACTTGGTTTGAGTACTTTAGTTGACAGAAGGCAAGCTGCTAGTTTAAATTTTCTTAGGCAATTAATTGATGGTAAGATTGACTCTCCTGAACTAATTTCATTCATTAACTTTAAAGTTCCGTCCACTAATATCAGACACACTTTTCCATTTCTTATACCAAAATTTAACACCAATTATTTAGATAACCAGCCGATAGTTAGGATGATGCGTATGGCAAATAGCGATCCATCATTTCTTAATTAACTATTTATCATTATCAGTAACCTTAATGTTTCTAGTTGTTATTATTATATTACTTTTAATTAAAACAATTTTATTTTTTGTTTTTTTTCTCTATTCTTTTAATATTTTTTATATTGTACTAATTAATTCTACTGTATAGAATTTTCGATATTTTTATCTTATTTTTACATGTTCACTGTAATATTATTATCATAATTAAAATATTGTTGTTATATCATTATGTAATTGGGCTTGACCCGTATTGTAAATAAATAAATAAATAAATAAAATACATTTTTAAATATATTCATGACAGCGATATATGAATTAATATATATATAAGTAAAATAATTCGTGGATTATCAATTAAAAAACAGATTCCTCTAATAAGATAAAAGAACATAACTATTAATTTTTTAGAAAATTAATTAAAATTATTATAATATAGTATCTAATCTTAGTTTTAAATAAAATGTAATACACTAAAATAATTATAAGAAATTCTTAATTAAATTTTACTTTATTAAAAAAAATAAATTATAAATTATACTTAATACTAATACCAAACTATTTTATTTGTATATTATGTTCAACTACTCGTGGCACATATTTAGCTTATACTTAAATTAATTATTATTAAATCTAAATTTCTTTAATATTTAATACTTAATTCTGAGTATTATAAAAATCCTTTAAGAACTTCTTAATAATCAATACATTTCATGTATTTTCTTAATTAAATACAACTTTATAAAAAAATAAATTACATTTATATATAGAATAATAATACTATGGTTTAGTATAGTATGCTGATCATATTAATTAGAACAATAATGTATAAATTATATTAAGAAAAAAAGAAAATATTTATATTAAGTTTAATAAAATCATTAGGTTATAATATCTAACCAACTATAACTGCTTTATTAGAAATTTTGTTTAACAATTTCTGTTCTTGTTGCTTGTTTTTATTTTTCAGTATGTTTGCTAGTGAAGATGTTTCTGTTGGCGCTTGGTTAAGCCCATTAAATATAACAATAAAACATGACCTGCGATTTTACACAGAATGGTATAGTCGTGGATGCAGAAATAATTATTTATTATGATTTAATATTTAGTCTAGAAAAATGTGTGATAAGAGTTTAAACATATGGCTTCCTACGAGCACGACTGGTCAGTAAATTATACCATCTAAATATTGTGTGAGAAACTTGTCTTTATTTCCATAAATATATTTTCTAACTTAATAAGACTGTTGTAATTATTAATTTAATCATGGGCGTAGTTTGGCATAATTATATGTGGGGGCTATATAGGACTAGAAAAATATACCATTCAAAAAACTCCTTTCGTTTAACTGGAATTAAAAAGAAAAAAAACATTTTCTAAAAAAAAAAAACAATTTATATTTGCCTTCTTCTTAACCTGGCATTTTATTTTGCAATATAAAAAAAAGATAAAACAATTAAAATTTAATTATTAAATCAAACATAAGCTAGGCACCTAGGCGTCTGTGTTTTTCTGAAAATATGTTAAGTACATTTTCTGATTCTATTGCATGTGATAAATCTCTTTCGATATGAAGTATTGACAAGTTCATTTGTCATGGTATTTCTAGTCCAATTCTTTATTCGCCTCATAACAGAAAATGAACGTTCACATGAGGCAGATGATATAGGTATAGTAAGTGCAGTTTGCAAAAGTTTATAAAAATTTGGAAAAATATTGTTGTCTACAACAGGTATGATGTCATCTATTTCATAATTTTCTTTATTGATCATATTTTTTAGGACTATCATTTCAGCCTTCAATCTTTCTGGACTTATGTTTAATATTTTTTAGAAACAAATTTAAAAATAAAAATAAATCTTAATATATAGTTTTAAACTTTATAGGTTAGGTACCTCATACTTATTAACAAACTCAATACTTTCTTCATATTTTAATTGTATAAAATTGTCCACTCCTACACCGATTTTTAAACTTTCTAATGAAAACCTATTTTTCATGCCATTTATTACACAGTCCATTATTTTAAAATAAGCATTAATTTTCCAGTATTCAAAATTATCATATTTAATGATAGAAGAACAATCATCCGCTTCCCCAGCCTTAGAACTGACACAATAGTCACTTAAATGTATTGGCTCTTTCTTTTTACGCTTTGAACCTAAAAGTATAAATATTTGAATTTAAATTGATAAATAATAATTGAATACAGAAAAGTTTTTTAAAATATACTTTTAGAGATGTCTAATGAAATGTCCAAATTGTCAGCAAATTCTTTTATATCTTTCCAAATTATTTTAAATTTATCAGAACAACGATCAGTTTCAAAAGTTTTTATTATACCATTTATTAAATTAACTGAATTTCCTAATGTAGGTTTTTTTGATTGAAGTTGAGTACTTAAAATATTTATTTTTTGTAAGTATGTCTTGGAATAAAAATAAAAAGACTACAAATGTTCCCTTTTTCATCATACTTTGAATCCCTTTAAAAAAAATTGTTTACATAGTTACTTACTTAATTATTTTAATAATTAAAATAATAAATTAGGTTGATTTACCTATTGCTTGTGCTACATCCATATCATTGTTATTGTAAATTTCTTCACTTAAAATTTTAAGAATGGCTGCATAATTATCTTTAACAGACTTACAATTGTTGTATCTACATACCCAACGAGTATCACTTATATAACTAATACGGCGTTTCCACGTTTGGTCTATAAATAAATGTGTTTATGATAAAAATAAATAGGTATATGTACAATAGTATTGTCAATAAACATTACACTGCTAATATTAGCTAATATAAAATTTAAAACTATACCTAATTTCGCCTTTCGGATAAAATGTAAAAAAATGAGGACCATGGGGATTGAGGGGGCTACATAAATTTCTGTGGGGGCTGTAGCCCCCACAGCCCCCATGCATACTACGCCCATTAAATTATTTAATTAATTTTAAATTGGAATTTTGTTTTCAGTTTTTTATGAGAATTAATATATTTATAGATAAATTTACATTTTGAATTCTGAATAAAACATTTTATTTTATTTTCAAATTTGTATACAATTCTCAATGACAATAATTAAAATCGATTCTTCTTATAACCATAAGAAATGTATGCGCTGTATTTATGCACTATTTATGCATACATAAATACACATAATATGTACTATGTATTTATAAAATAAAAAAAACTTATTTCATTTTAAAAATATGTTATTTTTTCACTCTGTCTGTAATACATATTGGGCAGAACCATTTTCCTTTGGGCTTCTTAATTAATTCGACACACTCAAAGTGGAACCATTCAATAGAACACTGAAATAACATTAAATAAAAAAAATAAACTTTACAAAAACAAACCAATGAAACAATATTTACAATAAAAATGGAATGATATTGATTTTTTAATGGTTACAATAATATAAATGATAATAAAATAAGTAAAAATTATTAATCAATAAATATTAAAATGCTTACGTCTGGGTTATCGCAGCCTATCATTTCACCATAGGAAACTTGGTCGCATAAACAGTATGTCGGTTCATTTGGATCAACAGGCATGTCTAATACTTCAGCCGAGTGAGCAACTCCGTCACCGACCAATGCACCAGTAAGAGAACTAGTGTCTACTGTAACACTGGCTATGCTATTGGTAGAATTTGTCGGACTAGTGACAACACTGACCAAAGGTGTTTTTCTAGTTGCGGAACCGGTCGATTTTGCACCTACTGACAAATTTTGAACATTATCATACAATAAAATCAACACAAACAATACTAAAATTATGTTGTCCCCAAACCTTTTTTCAATTGTTTTTTTTCAGATTTCTTAGTAACGGTTTCTTCTTCACTTGATGCACTTTTATTTTTAACATCTTTGTCTTTAGTTTTCTTTTGTCTTCCTGAAACCAACAAGCATAAAGATATGGCGGAATCCTATCATAATACAATATATTGCTGAACACTTACGTTTTTTTGAACCTTCCTCTATATTTCTGATAGCTTTGTCTTCAATTTCGGCTTCATAACTTGCGAAAGCTGAATCATGTTTTCTAATATATGTATCCACCTGAAAGGTATGTACAACAAAGTAGAATAATTCTATGATTTTGTCAACATCTCAAAATCAACATACCAATTCATAATTTTCCATCGCCAGTTGAACTTTATCGTCACCATATTTTTTGGCTTTGTCAAACCCACGTTGTATACGGGTCATAGTTTCGTTCTTTTTTTCTACAGAGTATCTTCTGATATTTGATAAATAGTCGTTGGCCAATTTATCAATGTTGCGCAACAGTTCTTGAATTTTCGAGTCGAGGTCTCGCATCAGATCGAAGTTTCGATGTAATTCAACCGGAAGGTTCTTCAAACCTAAAATTTCACTCTTTTAGTATATCGTTGATATGTTAAACCGAAAGAGAACTTACTGTCCAAATAGTTTTCCAGATACGGCCCTGAAGTCATTATTGTTATTTTATGGTTCAACCGAGAATGTTAGAGACAAAAAATAAATAAAATGCACTTTTTTCTGTTGATATCGCAAGTCAACTGAGAATGTTAGAAACACAAAATAAATAATATGCACTTTTTTCTGTTGATATCGCAAGTCATTAAATTTTGTCATTTTGGTATAGCATGTCAGTATGTCACATGTAGAAATAATATTATACACATTTCGAATGTAATAAATGGCACGTTTGATAACTGGCAACACTGCAAGTTCATTTTCATTTTTCTTACAGTTATTTATTTAAATTTTAAGCGGGCTATCAGTTGATGCTGGCCTTATTTGTAAATAATTTATCTGTTTGAAATAGTACATGTCATTTTAGTATATAATTAAGAAAAAATAATTAGATTAAGGGGGGCCTTGACGGTTTTTCATTAAATTTAAAAAAAAGTATGAGAGGCACTGATATTATATACTATCTAATATTATGTATCTCAGTGCGTACCCGAAAAACACGGTAGACATTTTTTTTATCTTAGGTAAGTGTTCTATATTTTTATTTATATTTCATAAGTTTTTCAAAAGTGTTGACAATATTATATACAATTACATTTATATAATATGATATAATTACCTAGTGTAGTCATAGGTGACTATATATATATAGACAATATAATATAATCATATTTGTAATGTAGGTCAGTGATGCAAATATGCTGAGGCAGCTAAACTGTAAACTAGATATATGGCGAAAAGAATAGTAAGTGAGGGTAGTCGTGGTACATAAATACTGCGAGATACATTTGATTGTTAATTTTGGGTGTGTTCATAGATTTTAATAAAGGGTTTTTAACTCGAGATATTATTGTTTACTTTTATCGTCACCCTGTAAGTTTGAGTTCGATCTGAAACCAGTTAATTCATGGTCTTTGAAGACGAAAACATTACTTTTCGGATTTCTATTTACCGTGGAAGACTAAACTGAAACCGGTTAATTCGTGGTCTTTTAGTCATCCCTTCGGATGTAGAAGTATACAAACTGAAAAGTGCGTATACGACAGTGGCGCCCAACGCGAATCGACTATCCACCACCTAGAAACTCTTTTCTTTTCAAATTTGTGTCTGTTTTTTTTAAAATTTATTTAGGGTTAAGGCTTCAACTACTAGGTCATTAGCCTGTGGTACTGTATGGTAGGGTACCGTAGATTTGTTTACACTTGTGTGTTTGTGTTGGTAGAATTTTTGATTTGTGCACCCGTAGGTATCTGCCATGCCTGGGAAGGGGATGGCTACACTTGTTCTTCGGACACCGCTACTTGCCCGAAGAAAAATTCCGCCCATGACCGAGGTATCGAACCGGAGTCAGTGTGCATCGCAACCGACGCCTTAGTCCGCTCGGCCAATCCGTTCCCTGTGCGCACCGTTAGAGACCAGCAGACCGCTCCGGCCGCCAACGTTCTTTCATTCGATATCTTCTGATTCATCATCGACCATCTTTCTCTGTTACGTCCCGGACTTGCAAATTGTAACGCTGTCCACGACAGTTTTTGTCACGCAACATTACCGACCTCGTGTTCTGTGTCATCTTTCAACGGTTGTCACGACACTGAATTTTCGTTTCTATTCTTGTGTACGACTATATGATGTTGGGCTGAGGACACCCCTATAGGCACCACGGATGGCCAGAAAGCCAGTCCACTTCCATGTTATGTCAACTTCTAAAGTCATCAGTCAACCACGTCATAGTAATATAATTTATTGTTAACCCCATGGCCCCCACATAGTTAAAGACGCCTCACGACATGAGCACAATTTTTCCTCTCCCCTTTTTCCCTTTCCAACACCTGATCGTTCAGTCATAAGCCATAGGCCGCATGGCTACGTTTTTCCTTATTAATTAAAAGAAGTCGTTATTCACGCTCAGTATAAAAAAAGAAAACAAACAAACACAAAATAGCATAATTATTCACAAAAGAGAACGCTTTGACGGCCTGCAATATCAAAGATCGCCTTGATTCAGCTACGTTATTTTGCTAATCCATTCACATCATTTTATCCTCTAATATAATACATCAATTTATTATGTAGGTAATTACATGCAGCTATATTGACCTAACGATTCCCCCTCCCCCATGTTATTATTCTTTAAAAAGAAAACATAAGCAATGTTGTTTGTTAAACATCATTATTTCCCTCCTTTTTTCTTGCCACGTACCACATTAAATTATTATATTCATATTTAGTATTGTCATACAAGAAAACTCATTTTTATTCACTTATGTGAACCTCAAATTATTATTTATTGTAAATGCCACATTTATAACTATCTCTCTTAAATTACTATTTTTGTAGTAGTGCCATATTATCATTTTTTAAAGAAACTATTATCTGTAATTAATACAAACCTCATGATTTGCTTATCATGGGTATTCTTTAGAGAAAAAAAAATTCTTGACTATCACAATATATACTAACAAATTATTGTAACAATGTAATACAGAAAATTAAAATAACAAATATTATTAGAATATCTATATAATACCTATATAAATGTATAATATGAATTATTATGTATGTCAGTATCACATGTATTTGTAACTAAACTATAGATTATTAAAACCTTATATTCTTTTTTTAGTCAACGACGTAAATAAGCTGAGACAGTAACCTAGTAATAAAATAAGTTTAGTATTTAATGTAGTAATAAGACATTTTTATGCAGCAATAGCATAAAAAAATGAGGTCATTTTTTTTTTCAAAACAACGGGGATAATACGACAGATTTTGTAGATAGCCGTCACTGTAATATATTTAATGTACGCATAATATAGGTAGCCACACCTTACAATCAAAAAAAAAAAAAAAATATATACACTTTCTCTAAGATGGAAATCTCTATTAAAAATTTACAAAAAAAAAAAAAAATCAAAATCACCACTTGATATTTTAAAATATAATTATCATGCTATAAACATTTCAGATGTCAGACAACAAAAATGTGAATATGATAAAAAAAATTTAAAAAAGGGTGAATTCAACATAGAAAAATTAAAAAAGAATGAAAAACCATTTAACATTAATAAACATCGAAGACAGATAAAAAAGAACGACAAAAAATTAATAGACGAAAAGATCAAGAAATGTTTCGAACAAATTGTGAATTTCATCCTAAGCCGAAATCCTTAAAATTCTAAAAAAAAAAAAAACTACACAACTACACAAACGAAAAATCACATCCTTACTTGCTTTAAATTCAAAATTTGTCCTTATTTCTTAAACTACTGTATACACAAGAAATATGATAATGTGATGGTTTTAATACACACATATATATATAAGAGAAATACATATATTTTAATTTTAATTGTAATATGGTAGTATTAGGCATAAAATATGAGGGCATATTTTTAATTAACATAACATTCTTCTATTTACCGTGGAAGACTAAACTGAGAACGGTTAATTCATGATCTTTTAGTTATCCTTTCGGAGGTAGAAGTATACAAACTGAAAAGTGCGTATACGACACTAGTGAGAAACAATTTTTAGTGTACTTACCTATTGTTGTAAAATAATATTTAAATAATATTTATATTTTACAAAATAAATCTAGATTTAAATATAAATTTAAAAAAAAAAGCTGGTTAGTATGGGTGACTCTCTGTTGTACAGTAGGTTACAAGTGGGTGGTGGGTCACCGAAATAGATTTTTTAATTACAGAATTAAATACTTACGTGGTACCTGGTTCTAAACTTTTTTAAATGTTAAAAGAAATAATAATTAATATGAATAATTATAGTACAATCATTAAATGTTTAGTATTTGTTGGTAAAAGGCTTTTTTGTTCCTATGACAGACCTTTTTTCCGGTGATTTTATTTCATTGCTATTTTACCCGGCTTCTTTTTCCTCGATTTCACAGGGCGATGAATGTTTGGTCACATTTACCCAAAATGACCCAAAATCCAACACGTTTGGGTACAAATAGACACAACGTTTGGACACATAAAATAAAAGGTATTTTATATTTTTACCTGGTAAATCAGAGAACGTTTGGGTACACATATACAAGACACGTTTGGGTACACGCCATAAACACGTAATCTACTTTATCACCTAACCATTAATATTATCGCGACTACGAATTTATATGTAATACATAAATTTGTTATTTCTTATAATCTTTATTACGCCTGCATCAATATAATATTATATATATATATATATCTTTACAAATTTCTTTATTCACTCAGTGTGACAGTGTCTCAACTCTCAGTTGTGTCTTCAAAGTCATAGTGAACAGTACGAAATAATGGATAGTCGTATTACTGAAGTTTTTGAAACCCGTCGTGGTAAAACGTGTGTGATTATAGATCTTTTTAAATTCAGCGAATAAAGAATAAATAAGCCATAAGGACAGCAAAATTTTTCGGTGTACTAATCGTAACTGTAATATAACAGCAAAAATATCTCAAAATTTAAAAAATGTAATTTCGATTCATGGATACCACAATCATGAAGCTCTTCGAGTAGAAACTCTTACAAAACAAAAAGTAATGTCAGTATTAAAAAGGAAGGCAACTACAGATTTGAATGCGAAACCAAACAAACTCATAATACAAGAACTCCGCAATTGTCAAGATTCAGGTAATCTCAATCATTCTGACGTGCATTTATTTCGTAAAAGTATGTATGAAGCTCGGAGAAAATTATTTCCTAAAGTTCCAAAATCTTTATTAGAAGCAAAAGCTATGATATATGAATGCAAAACAGATTTTTTTTCAAAGGGTGAGCAATTTTGTTTTATGGAATCTGCTGATTCCATAAAACAAAATCCATCATCTGATCCTAGGACAACAAATGGGCCCGAAGCATTTCATTGAGACTTTAATAGTCAGTTTTCTACAAGCCATCCAAATTGTTTTAATATTGTCAATACGTTGATGGAAATTCAAGAAGAAACTCATTTAAAGATATGCAGTATTAAAAAAAACCTAAAAGAATATTTTAAGAA